TCCCAACTCCTTCTCCTTGGGGCTGCTTTCAACCCCTTCATCCCACAGCCTTTGCTGTTACTGGGGGTTGCCCTGACCCAGATGCAGGATGCTGCACTTGGCCTTGTTGAACCTCATGGTGTTCACATGTGCCCACTTCTTGAGCTTGTCCAAGTCCCTCTGGATGGCATCCCATCCCTCAGGCATGTCAACTGCACCACTCAGCCTGGTGTCATTGCAACTTGCTGAGGATGAAACAGCAGACTCTGTCACTCATCTCTGTAGTAGTTGTCTTTTTATTTTTGGAAGAATCTCTGGTTTGCATGATTTCTTTCTTCAACTTTACTCTAAAGGCTTTGCATATATATCCTGGACCAGAGGGCATGATGCCCTGCCTCAAACATACATTGCAGCTGGCCCTGTTAATGTTTGAATGGGTCATGGAGCCTGATACCCAGGAAAGGATCTTCTGTGGACAAGCCTGCCCCTGGGGAGGGGCTGCTGCTGTGGCCTGGCACTCTCTCTTCCTATTCATTTAGAGATTTTGGGCTAATCATCTGGCAGCATCATTAAAAGGGAAATACTGAGGCTGCCCCCCCTTAACAGAGCAATTCAGCAGTGCACGCACACCCACGCACACGTGCACACCCCCACAGCATGGGGCCAGTAATAGGGGACAAGCTATAATTAACTAGATGAAGGAGTCCATCTTCCTTTGTTGCTGCAATCAGTTGTCACTCTCAGCTGTGTTTTGTGCTCTCACAATCTTCTTAGGTTTTGTGGCTTTATTTTTCCATTTTAAGAGCTAAGTACCCAAATGTGGTGCTGGGGGAAGGGGCAGTGGGGGCAAGGTTCAAACTGCCTCCAAGGTTTCCTTCGTTTTCTCCTCCGCCTTGAAAATTACCCCTAGTAAATCCTAACGATGAGGACTGCTGTTTAACTATGTTGCTCTTTCATTGTACTCTGAAGCTACTTTTAAAAATGTCCCTTCTGGCTTCATAAAAATCCAGTGTTGGCCCTTGATATTTTGTACAATGAGAGCCACTTAATTTTGCTATTTTGATATAGAAAGCAGATGGTTTACAATTTTTTTTAAAAAATGTGGTTCTTGGAAATGTTACTTTGAGATCAGGGGAGATTATTACTAACCTTTTAGAAAATAATACTGATTTGGTAGTAGGTTAAAGAGATACCAAAAGATATAAGTAGGAAGAGTGAGTTGTGACAGGCATGAATCATGGACCAGAGTTTGTATGTCTGTCTGCCTTCAGCAATGGACGTATTATTTTAATAACAAAGCAATGTTCTGAAGAAGCAGGCCACTTTCTCTTCCCATTACTGCTGAAAGTCTGAAGAAGCTGAGGCTCCAGAAGCTGAGCACAAGTAGATGCTTATCATTTTCAAAGAAACCTGTTGAGAGCCTCCTTCCAAAGCCATGTGCTTGTCCTTACTCTCACTCATGTTTGAAGTTCAGGAGTAACAAGTCACCAGATTCCTGACTTTAACATTTTTTTGCAGGCAGATAAACTATTTATTCTGAAGTTTTCCTAAACCTTTTCCAGAGCACTTGCTACCCATTTAGCAGCAGCTGGGGCCAGCCAGTAGATTATTATAAGAATGACTAGACTGGTTTAGAAAAAGCACACAACCCCTTGACCATTGCAGCTCATGCAGGTTTGTGTCAAGCTTTTTCCAGTTCTACATCGGCTGAGTTTGCAGCTCTGAGGCTTTAATCAAGGTTTCTTGTTGAACAAATCTAAGATTAAAAGGAAAGCATATTTCACCTAGATTTAGGTGAAAACTCATATTTTCTTACAGGATTCCCCTGGGACAGGATGACTGTTGGCACAAACAGTGGTTGTACACGTGAATAATGCGCTTTGGGATCTGATGAATTCATTTAGCGTCCTGAGCCTACTGAAATCTTTGCTGGCCTTTGTGGTTGATGCCCAAATAGCATGGTCATAGGTGTCCCCCCTCTTCTGGCAAAATCTGGTCTAGCTTGCAGATCTGAGCAGTTCTCGCACCTCTTGCATTGGTTTGTTGGATGCCCTGTTAGTTTGTTGCAGTCCAATACCAAGTGCTACCCTGTGTCACCTTGAGATGACTTTGACTCCTGTGATTTGAAAATAGTTTTAGTGTCGTGTCATATCTTGAAATTGATGTAGAGGTGAGACAATGATGTCAGTTCACGTTTTCCGTGTTGATTTTACTGTGACTAATTTGGGGTCTTTGTTACACATGCTGCAAATGTCACAGATTTTAGATCTCAATGGCTGAAGGTTTTGGTTGTTAATGATGTTTTGTTGGAGATAAATACACTCATTTTCATTCCTACTTTAAATTGCAAGGGAGGAAAATTTTCAGATGAGAAAAGCTGATATGTTATTTCATTATTTATATTATTATTCTATCTACCAATGAATCTGGAATTCTGTTAGTGTGCTTTTTGTTAAAACAAGGTTCTGTGTTGATGGACAAATTAAGAGATAATATTAGTTTTTTGCCGTATCTCCAAGTCCACCCTCCTTTTTCTTCCTGTTTTAAAAAGGAAAAAGTAGCATTTGCAGGGGGGCATTATTTTTCATTAATCTCCCTACTTCCATTGTCTAGTTGGCACTAGAAGACCAAGACGTACATAGAGTACCACAGCTGCTGTTGTATTTCACATTTGCCAGGAAGCAGAAAGAGTCTGAACGTTTCTTAGGGAGACTTTCTTGTGCAGGCATTTGAACCAAGGCCAAACTGGGGGCCAGAATGGTGGGTACATCTTGGGGGTGTCCTCATTTCAGGACTGCAGTTAAGGGCGCTGGGCTGTACCTGGCCAACAGAGCCTGAAGATAGGGCGCACAGCATTGGCCTTTTGGGGCTAAGAACAAAAGGAACATTGACCTTGCAGACATTTTGAGATTTTTGTAGCTGTGGCTGGTGGAGAGAGAAGGGCTCTTCTTACAGTGTGATTTGAGGTGTTTAATGGAGGTTCTTGCTTTGAATCCTCTCTGGAGGTTTCTCTTTGTCAGTGTCCCGCATCCCCACGTGGACAAGGGCCCTGCCATCCCCAGCAACTGCACCTATTGGTGCTGTGCCTCTTAGGCATGGCTTTCCTTCCCCATGGTGCACAAGGGCTGAGGGCTGGGGACCCCTGTCTCTGCTCTGGGCCTGATGTCTCCTCCCTGTTCCAGCAGCTTCAGCTGTGTGTCATACTGCCACCTTCTTGCCTTTTCTCTTTTCTCACCACGCAGGGTTTCTGTGTTTTGTGGGTCCTAACAATTCTTGTCCTTTACAGTGCCTTTTACAGTGACTTTCAAGTGTCCATTTAGACAGACCTAAGACTTGCCTATCAAGAATGATGGGGTCAGTGGCCATAAATAAGACACAAATTCAACCCACTCTGCTAGCAGAGCAGAACGATTCGGTGAAATTATATCTTGTAATTTAGACCAGAAGTATGTCCTACAGTATCAAATCTGCTGTGTTTATTTATAGCTAGAGAACCTAAAAAAAAATCTAAACCTATGTTGTGTTTCTGATTATTTTTCTAAATCCACAATAATCTTCAAGAACATTAAGATATTTGCATTCCTTAGACTGTACAATTATTAATCCCCTTATCTGGCTTGGAGTTCTCTGTGGGTGAACATATTCTTGGGATGATCTGGATTTTAGATTTCTCCAGCAGACACAAAGGCAAAATATAAAAGAGAGAGAAATAAACAAATTCAAGCTCAGCATGCTGCTCGTTGAAAATTCTCATTCTAATAAATTCATTTGACCTCTCAGTCTCTGTGAAATTAAAAAAGTCACAGCCCTGTTTGATTAATAAACTGACTTAAGATAGAATGTGTGTGTGTATGCGTGTATCAAAATCCCTGCCGTACCAAGTGCTGTGAGGGGTGGGAGAAGGAATCAAGCTAAGGGAAGAAGGTCAGGCATCCAAGTACGAAAGGGGTCCCTCATGTCTTGAGTGGAAAGGACTTGATTTTTGTCTATGTTAGCTCTGTGAAATCATGTGTCGCAAAATTAACTAATGGTTGATGCTTAATGGATCAAGCATTAGTATATATGCAGTAGTTTCTAAATTATATTTGTATGAATACAGTTGTACAGTAAACATATTTGAAAATTGGGGCTAGAAATGGATTTGCTTGGAAACAAACAAGGTTTATGCCAGGAAGAGTTATGGGGCAGAGACTGGAGCAGCCCAAGTGACCACCAGAGCCCCATCCACAGAGCTGATGGGGACTGGCACTGCTGCGGGGAGCTGGGCTGCTTTCTCGCTTTACCTTGCATTATGAAACCAAAGAGTAGCTTTAGCTGTAGAACCATCAAGCAACATACTTGCCTCAGAAGTCAAATCTCCAGGTCTTCCCAGAAAGAAAATGGAGTAGTATTAAAAACAGATTACAGGTAAATTTTTAGTCCTTGCTAGGTCTGGCGTACTGGTGTCTAATTGTAAGTGTGAGCAGTGTTGATCGACTCATAAAAATACGCGCTGAAGCCACCATGTTCAACAATGAGGATAGCTTTGTGTGTGTGTGTGTATGCATTCAGCCCAGATGTTTCCTCTGAAGCAGACGTGATGGAATCACAGCCTCCCTTTCACTGACCACTGCACCCTTGCGTTTTAAATCTTTAGCTGAGGGCAAGTTATTTCTGTAGCTCTCCAGAGGAGCAAATGCTCCCTGCAAAGCCCCATTGCAGACCTGGACTTTCCTAGCCCATTTAGCCATACCAGTGTGCAGTGCCTCTGGAGGCACTCCCCAGGGGATATGATGAACCTCAAACACAGTTCTGCGACTACCAGCAGGTTTTTTTCTACCAAAGACAGACATTTTCCAGCAGCACCTGCATATGTGTGTGCCCTGTGTGTGCTACACCCATACTTGGCCTAGTTCAAGTATGTGAGGTCCAATCCTGAGAGGTATTGGATTGTGACCAGAGTGCATGGACATTGCTGCTTTTTCTGCTGTTTTGTTCTTTTTTTCTGACTTCCTCTCTCTTTCTCTCTCTCTCTCTCAAAGGCCTCTCACACCTGATGATGGGTGAACAAGGTAAGTCCTTTGACTTTCTCTTTGTTTCAGTCACTGATCATGAAAGAGCTTTGTCCCCGCTGCTTTTCTGAGCTGCGTTTTGCATGACAAAAGCAACTAAGCCTACTGGGTGCCAGTCAAGCCATTTGCATTTTTGCCTCTGTGTCTCATGAGCCATGGCTACTTGTCAGCCTGGGAGTAGGTGCCCAGGAGGGAGCATGAAAGGATTCCATGGACAGTGAAGAGGTACGCTTCCCCCTTCCATGCAGCCCACCAACTATTTTATCTTGCTGTTTCTTTCTAGTTGTGCCAGCTGTAATGACTCCCACTTCTGCCTGATAAATGTAGGCCTCACTGTTGGTCTTTATTTTTAAGAGTGCAATTATTACAAAAAATATGTTAATAGCCCTCATGGCATGATCCTAGCTCATTATGAATCCTGAGGAAAATTGCACGTAATGGCCTGTAAGTTCTGTGTCTGTGATTTAAAATATTAAAATATGCACAGAGCAAAATGGTTCAGAAGAAAAACAGGGCTAACCCCAGCTTGGGCTACAAATGGGGATCTAGGCCTGTATCAGAGTTCACATTTTAATATCTCAGCTTGGATTGTGTTACAGATCTATTGGCTGTGACATGATGGGATCATTAGTCCCAATTTGCACTATGGGGGTGTGGAGCAAGAAGCTGGTGAGGTGGGAAGAGGGGTGATGCTGTTTTCCTCTGACAGTGTCAGCATCTTGCTGCTGTGGGTGCACAGGGAGGAGTTAGCAGCGCTGATGATGCATTCCAGTCTGGCAAATGTAGGAGTGAAATGGTTGAAGGCTTAATGCAAGGTGTATGCCCATGGTGCACTAGAAAGACCAGACCAACTGTTTGTCTTTGGGGAGAAAATGTGAGTTTTGAATTGAAAGCCTGATGAGGCTTTCCTAGACTAGATGTTTTTGCCATTAAATGAACACGTATCTGAAGTTAGACAGTACAAAGAGTTAATAAGATAGAATGTAGTGCCTGTGAAAGCTCAAGAGTAATTAGGTGCTTGAATAAATGGGACATAGTTTCCATATATCTCAGTAAAATGTAGAGAGGTTTAGGACATAATCAGTTTTTATTCCGTAGTTCAAGGCAGATGTCTGCTCTGAGTCATGAAAGCTTAGGAGACAATCAGAAGTGAAGTTGGGGCTCAGCTTCCCTTTGTGGTAGGAAAGCAGGGCTCTTTATATTCCGTAGTTCAAGGCAGATGTCTGCTCTGAGTCATGAAAGCTTAGGAAACAATCAGAAGTGAAGTTGGGGCTCAGTCTTCAGTTTCTGTACTCTGATGTCTGCTCTGAGTCATGAAAGCTTAGGAGACAATCAGAAGTGAAGTTGGGGCTCAGCTTCCCTTTGTGGTAGGAAAGCAGGGCTCTTTATAAGTGCATGTCAAGACCATGGTATTTGGCACATGGAGCATCCAGCTAAGCTCTTTGAAGCACTGAGCTCCTTCTCTGTCCCCACTTACTGTTCCCTGGCTGGGCTCTTTATAAGTGCATGTCAAGACCATGGTATTTGGCCCATGGAGCGTCTGGCTAAGCTCTTTGAAGCACTGAGCTCCTTCTCTGTCCCCACTTACTGTTCCCTGGCTGATGGGTGAAGGAGCATCCAGCAGACAGGTTCCTTCAGCATGTCCCAGTCGCTGAGGATGTAGCTGAGTATGACAAGCCATTGGCAGAGGAAGGATGATGGCATGTTGGGAGTGATCAGGACAGTCAACTTTCATGGCCGTTTTCAATCTCAATAGCACTGAGGATATCTTTGTAGCAGTCTGTGATTTAGCACTGGATTATTTAAACAGATGCACTTGGCCATTTAAATTACAAGTTGCAACCCAGCTGGCTCATGAAGACTTGCATGACCTCTTCAGGCCTGTATGATTGTCATCAGCCCTTTCTATACTCCCTTGCCTGGCAAAAAAAAATGTGGAAACTGTTGGCTTCTGGCAACTTTAGCCACCCTTATTTATCCATGACGCATCAGGGAACAGTGGCTTCTCTTTTCTTGCCAACCCACTCACAGATACACCCTTTTGATAAATATTTACTCTCTATAAAAATATTATGGATATAAAATATGTAAATGTATATATGTGAGTAAATATGCAATGTCAACATTATATACAAATACATTAGCTCTGGTAGGTGAAATGTGTTTACCAAATATATTACCATGAGATTTATTTTCTTCTGTCCTACTCTGTTGTTTCCCTTGCTGTTTTGAATTTGACGTGGAATGAGGCATATCACTGGCGTGCTATTGCATGGGGGTTTGCATTTCTCAGTAGAAAATCAAATTAAAGCCAAAGGGCTTAACCAGGCAGTTGCTAGTTGTACTGTCAGTTGTTTAAGCCTTGCTTTGTGCTTTAGTTGTGGTGTGTCTCTCATTTTCCCTTGACATTGTGTTTTGTTGGGTTTGGCTGCTACATAAATATGCTCATTTTCTTGTTTTTGTAATATGGCCAGTGACATAATTTTCTGTTTTTTATGCTTCCTCCTTCTCTTCTCTTCTGCCTCCTCCATGATGGACACCTCTCTTGTTCCTCCTCTTAAATGGACCTACACCTTCCTGTCTGTAGGTAGAAGCAAAGGTAGAGATTGCATTCTTTCTAAGACTTCGTTGCTTGTAAAATGTTTGTTTGTTGATGGACAAATTGTATTTTTATGAATGTGGTTCATATTGGAACTTAATGCCTTTACTTTTTAAGGTTTCTTAACAATCCTTTGTTTTGTATTGAATTATGGAAGAAATATTTATTAAGGTTAATGATTTGAGGTCTTCTTAACATATGTTATTTTCTCCCTGTTCACACTGTGTATGGGCTACGCGGTGTCAGGCTGGCTGTAGCTGGTGTCACTGAGGTTCAAAAGGACCATCAGCTCAGCCAAAGACAGAGCCAGATGCCAGTGATCTGGTGCTGCCGACTCTCTTGCATCAGAGCAATGTTCCTGCCAGAAATTTTGGCACTGGTGTCGGTGGAAGCAGGACCTGGGCTTGTCCTTCAGCGATGGAGGTCTTGGGAGCTATAATTTCTCTCCCCAGCCCTGCTTCCCATCCTCTCACTTAAACAAAAGCTGTTTTTCAAATAGCAATTGAGTTGCAAAAAGCTGCAGAGGAAACAGAAGTGCTCAGCCCTGCTGAAGAGAGGTGTGTTTCCCCCGCAGCTCAGTACAGCGCAGGGCACGTAGGGCTGCTCAGGGCTCCAGCTCGCTCTTCAGCAGTTCACACCTACCCGTAGGATGCAGAGGGCAGTCATCCATCCCTAATCAAAACTGTCAAAAAGGCAAAATGCTGCAAACCTGCTGTGGGACTCCAGTTGGACTGGAGGGAAAGGTGAAGATTAATTGATAAATTATAAGCACTGCTCGAGGAAAATCCATTTCTTTGTCCTATTTTCCAATGAGATAGAGAGATTAAAAGGTTTTATTATGCTGAGGCTTACTCCTTTCCAACAAATGCACTGCTGAAGAATCTGATCTATTGATCAGCATGATTTGAGCGCATTGGAAGATGCTGGGTGCGTCCATGCCAATAAGACATTGCGGGATGAAATGATTAATTGTACTACTGTGAATTTGGGAGGAGGGGAGAGCTCAGGGGATTTGTACATAATAGCTTTCCTTTGAGGCACAAGCAGCCTCTGCCCAATGAGGCCTCTCACTCCTCCTTTAATACCTGATTTCTAGGGAGCACGATGGCATATTAAACACTTTCTCTTTGTGTGAATACTCTTTCTGATGCCCTGCCGCCTTCTAACAAGTTTGTATTGTTGGATTCTATGTGATGGTGTGCATCATGTAATCAATATTATTTTTTCTGTTTTGAGGCTGAAAAAATATTCCAATAGTTATTTTCATAGCTTTTCTATGCTATCCAAAGTTGGGCAGTGGAAGATAATACATAAGCTGTACTCAAAGCTATCTCCTTAGCAAGAGGTGAACATCAAAACATAATAATCACATATATACACTGTAAAAATGTGAGAACCTACAGTTCTAAGCACACCAGACAAAATGTTATTGTGTCTCAACACAACTGCCAACAATTGAGTTAGCTGATGTACGGCTTAGTGTGATTTAAGGTTCAGTGTAGATCAGGGCGAGTCTTACATGGTGTGATGTTAGCTCATGTTGCTCCCTTCTTTTCTTGGGTGGCATTTGTGCTCCAGGCCAGTCTGTGCAGGACTAAACTGGGAGTCTTTTCCGAAGCAAAACTCCAAGTTGAGCCTGTGGGAATGAGCATTATAATATATAGTCTACAATTAATTCATATACACTGACACTTAATTTATGGTGTCATTCACTAAAAATATTCACTTCCCAGCTATGGTTTTTTTTTCCCTCTAGTTATAGCAAGTGACTTCATCAGAGAACCATCACTCTGTATGAAAAATGGTATTACCTTCAGAGGGCTCAAGCGGTGTAATTTTGACCCCAAACATGGCCTGCAGTCACAGAGAAGGTGGTACCAGGTGCCTTAGTGACTGGACCTGGAAGGTTCATAGTTTTTTGGCATTCTTGTAGTTTTTAGTAAAAACTGGCAGCCGCTCTGTCTCATGCCACATATGTAGCCAAAAGGATATGATGTATTTGATTTCATAAAACATCTTCACAACATACAGCAGTCTGTGACCTTGCATTCGTCATTTGAAATAAGTCTTTCATTAGTCCCTTCCACTGTAGTAAATAGGCTGCTTCTGCATCTAGTCTTTTTTAAAAGTTCAGGAGTTTTTTGTTTTTTTTTTATAAGTTCCTGGAAAGCTGAAGAAGATGAAGTGTAGGTGTTCCTGGGTAATGGCTGATAGCTGCAGTAGTCGAGATACAGAAAAGCACCTGGGTTCCACTTGCATTTTAACCTGAACTGAGTATATATGCGTTGTTTGTGTTTTTATTAGGCACATGGAACTGGTTACAGAGATGAGGTAAATGTATGATGAGCAGGGAGGACTTTTATTTAGTTTGGCATGAATTGCTGAATACGGCTTCTCTTCTGGAGAGAAATTGACAATTAAGGAACAATTATATTGAGTTTATTTCCTTAACACTCCCCCACAAGTAAATGATACCAAGGGAGATCATAAATACCCAACTCTAATTTGCTATTGAACTGGAGTTAATGTGTAGTCACATTCTTCCATATCATTCGTTCTCTTGACAGCCTTTCTTAAGGAAATGATAATTTGCCTTTTTGTTACCTTTCACCATTCTTTTATATATGTAGTGGGTTTTGTTGTATCATCATTCTTGGTTTGGAACTGGCTTCTTTTGAGGTTTGTGCCTCCAGAGAAATTGGCTGAATTCCTGGTGGAACTCTGCTGTTTTGGACGAATAAAGTCCCGTGTCTTCTTGAAGGCAATAGCAAAATCCACATTGAATTTAGTGGGCCAAGATTCACCCAAAGAACTCAAAAGTTTCAAACGTCCACTCTGATGCAAAGAATGACAATGAGATGTGGCTGATTTCTGAGTGTGCAAAGGACACCTCTTTAGCACCCATGCAGTCTGCAGACTGCTGCTTCTCCTCTAAGGCACTGGGCTCCTTCTCTCCATCAGTAGCTGTGCTTGGGGTGAAAAACTGCCCAGCTCCATACTCGTTTTCAACATTAAGCAGGTTTTTTCTCAATTGTCAGAGAGAAATGAAAGAGCACTCACATATTTAATGGGTGGAACATTTTTTAATGCACGTTGTGTAGACCAAAGGCAACTGGCAAATTCCATGTGTAGTTCTCCGCGTTGCAAGATCAGATTATCTCCCTTGGTCCTAACTGCTCTTAAGCCAAGTAGGTCTTTTAAGTCTTGTGATGCTCAGCATTGCTCTCAGTGAGCAGTGTGAGGTTGTTATGTCTTTGAATTGTTCAATAATATTGACCAGGAGGTAATGGCACAGAAAAAACGAAATAGCATTTGTGGACTCAGATAGAAGGAAATGACTGGACCTTACTGATCTGGAAAATAATTTCAAGTTCTTCTTCACCAGTCATAGCATTAGGATTTCAGAGCGATGTGAATAAGTCCATCTGAGTGGCCAAGAGTTTATGCAAATGTTGAAGTGAAACATCAGTAACAAATTAAATCATTTGTGGTCTGTAAATATCTAATTATACAAGGAGAAAAACAACACTACATTCATCTTGTCAGGCATGGCAGTGGTTTTTAAGCTCTGCTTTGCCCTGTAAAATACCTTAATATTTGGGTTCTAATTGTGAATATTGTATGGTTTTGGTTTTGGTTTCTATACTTATGGTCCTTTCCTTACTACTATTAAAATATGTGTGGTAATGGGTTTGTTTTCCTGCATCATTATAAGGATGGTGACTTCCAGTTTATACTTTCCTCCTAATGACTGTTTAAAAAATAAAGCATTTTATATTATGGTTAGCAAATACCCAATTTGTAAAACCTCTTTGATAGAATCAAGGCCTCTGGAATGTAGAAAAATTTCTTGTAAGCAAATTTTTGCTGCTTGTTTCATATTTTATTTATGGAAGAAACAAATATTTTAATGTAATTCTTGTAAGTCTAATTAGAGGCAATTAATAGTTGATGAATTTCAAATATAAGGTATTGGGGGACATTTCTGTATGGCATTCATCCTATTTCTTTATATTCCAGAGATGACATTTTCTGAAATTTGATGAATGAAGTCACTTAAGTGTTGAATAGCAGCTAACGCAAAGGAATAGATTTATTAACATTCTTTTTTTTACATCTCTTAATAATATATTTATGAAGGCAGACATATGAGACATTAAATAGGATGTTTCTCATTAATAATTTTTTTTCTGTGCATATGAGCATGTGTGTTCACAAATAATGTGTATGCATAAAATATTTAATAACGTGTTAAGTATTTTGTGGTTTATAGGTGATTTATTCTCACATGCTTTTTTTCTGCCTTATTTTAAAACTGTGTCTTTCTAACGTGAATAAACAGCTGATTCTTCATTGGCTTTCATTTTTATTAAGAAGAATGATTCCTGTGAGAGTTAAAGGCATTGTGGTTGTGTTGTGTGTAAACAGGAGCTAAAATATTGTCATCTTATGCTGTATTGTAGCCTTCTGTTTTCGATGAGGCTCAGGTTTCACTCTGCCCAAAGAGAATATTTAATTGATATCATTGAAAGGCCTTTTTTTCCCTTCCTCTGTTTTCCTCATTTGAGACATTCAGTGGTGTGTAGAGATGCAGAGGCAGCAAAACAGGCCATATGCTTTGTAAAAGGCAGACTAATAGCACTTTTGATGGACATCTGATTTTTAAAGTGCTGTATCTTTCATTAAAATTTACATGTAAAGTAAGGGCAAGCACAGTGACATGAAAGCTAATGCAAGTTGCACATCTTGACATAATAACAATCAGAAGAAACTGGAGATCCCAGATGGCAGCTTGGCCTTTGCCATCCTTTTAATAAGCTACTAACTGCTAATTATTGCACTCTTATGGGCAAGTTAATTTACTGTTGACTCTTAAAGAGACATTGTGCCTTTTCCTGGCATTTAGGTTCTTCGATTTAGATTTGAGAGTGTTTTTTCCCTGCAGATTGGAGTCCTTCCAATGGACACTAACAAAGAGGCAAAGAAGCAGAGAGGGAAAT